CCCCCGGCCCGGCCGAGCTGGCTAGACGCAGGGACCCTGGGGCGCCGCACCGACCCTGGAGCGCGCGCTCGGCTTCCTGAGCGCCACGAGCTGGGGGTTGTTGAGAAGGGAGGAGAGCAGCAGCCACCGGGTCCGGGCTTGAGGGGAGATTCTGGCATCTGCAAAGAAAGTGGCCCAGCGCCCAGCAGGCAGCGGGTCTGGATCAGTGCGTGCCCCAGGAACTGCTGGCCAGCGGCCCCGCGAGACGCCACTGGAAACCCGGTGCCACCGGGGCTGGCCCCACCACGCCCCGGGCAGAGCTGGTCCCAACACCCTGCTTTGACCGTGGGCAGTGCTGAGGAGTATGCACCCCCCTGCAGCCTGGCCCATGGCTGTAACCCTGGGACACTGGCGCCCGCGGGACCCTGTGGGAAGCAAAGCGCCGAGCGGGGTTCTGGCCCTGAGTTTGCAGGCCGTGCGTGGGCCTCGGCGCTAATCTCGGACTGGCACAGGGCATGGCACCAGCGCAGCCGGGAGCACCGTGCGGCTCAGGGCATCGGGGCCGAGCGTCCCGCGCCCAGTGGCTCCCGGGGCGCAGGCACACGGGCACAGGTGCAGAGCGGAGCGGCGCGAAGCAAAGCGCCGAGCGGGGTTCTGGCCCTGAGTTTGCAGGCCGTGCGTGGGCCTCGGCGCTAATCTCGGACTGGCACAGGGCATGGCACCAGCGCAGCCGGGAGCACCGTGCGGCTCAGGGCATCGGGGCCGAGCGTCCCGCGCCCAGTGGCTCCCGGGGCGCAGGCACACGGGCACAGGTGCAGAGCGGAGCGGCGCGGCACTTACTGGAGATGCTGCCGAAGGAAGCGTATCTGGTGGCTTTCGGCAGGCTCCGCTCAGGGCTCCCCACCAGAAGAACGTGGCAGAAGCAGAGGAGGGTGGGGTTGGTGTGGTAGTGGTCCATAAAGAGCATCCCGACCCACGTGTTGAATCCTGCAGTGAAGGGACACAGGAGAGACCCACCGGGCTGTGCAGCTGGTTCCCTTCCCTACGGCCTGCGGGCCCCGTGCTGCTGCCTTCCTTGGGCACCGCCGCTCCCCTCGGACCCGCAGGCGCTTGTGAGAAGAGCACAGCTCC